GTTGAAAAAAAAATCTAACCTAGTTTCAAGCGTGAATATATATTGGACTGCATATGTATAGCGTATACATGTACTATCGTGGACAAAAGTTCGCTCCCTGTGGTGAAACCGAGTCACCAGAATGAGTCTCCGAACTGATTTACCTTGACTGTCATCTGGTGCGGGTGTGCTGTTTTTTCTCATATGGGGTCGATACTGCTTCATTTTGGGAGGGAGCGAACTTTTGTCCATGATAGTACACTCACTACAGAAAGTATCTGGATGTCAAAATAAACACTGCGACTCCTGTTGTCTCAGTAAGGTTGTCAGAATCCTTCGTCCATTGTGTCACATTGTCTAGCAAAACATTTTGCAGATACTTTTTGTAGAAATTACACATAAATATGTATGTGCTAAAGTTTATTTGTAATGTGTTTGTAGATACTGAAATACTCGGATAACACTGTACAGAAGGTTGCATTCACCAATGAAAAATAAACCTTCACTGGCAACCACATGCTCTTTGCTGTATGGGTATGCCACCAACAACAGAGCTTTTATTTTAATTTGATCAGTGATCTGCACACTTAGTAATGCCTCAATCTTTTCAAAGCAAGAGTGCCTTTAGTTTAGCACCAACCTTTTTCTCTCACACAAATAAGGCACATGGATAGCTTATTTTGCTGTACTGGCAACTGAGGGATGCTAGAGTTTGTCATAAATAATTTTCTCAGCTAATGTCATTACCCTACATGGTTTCTTCACTGCAGCAACACTAGCAGACTGTTTATAGTTAGGTGGCACCGTGTAGTAAAGTGTAAATAGAAATTTTTTTTTTTTAAAAACAACTAAAAGTCAAGCAATTTCTCATCCTCATCAATGTAAACAAACCAAGGTTCTAGCCAAGGGGACCTGGCAGCTGGAACCACTGCTTGAGAAATGCGCAGGTAGCATGCACAGGGCCAGGGCCATATACTGTACAATAAAATCTCTCATCTTTCAGTAAATAATTAATCACTTAGTATTTATTTAATTGTTTATAATCAAATCCATGCCAGATGAGACCCTACTGAATTTTATTCTGGCGAAGTGGCGATCACATGATAACCTTCTGCAGTTCTGTATATTTGCCAATAATTCATGTAACATTTTATGTAGAGTTTATGCCTATTATAGGATATCCAAAATTCAGAAAATTCCCAAATCCAGTTTGTTTCCAGTCCAAGGCTTGCCAGATAATCAACATAATTCCAGTAAGTCATAAATAAAATAAAAGAACACCAGTGATGTACCCGAATAAAGTCCTTTTCTGATGGTTCACGAGCTGCAGTCATGTTTGCCAGCGCGGAGAGGAGGTAAAAGGATTAATTTTCTTCCATATTTACAAGGTAGTCATGAAACTGACCACGGGTATCTGCGTGAGTCACTAAATCTGCCCACTCCTGATTACTCTTGTCCCCCTCACTCTCCTTACTGGTGGTAGAGACGGACTCATCTCTCATACCTATGTGAAGTTTGTAGACTATTTTCCACAACCTGAGGAACAGTGCAAGAGTTGTATAAGACCATTTTTATGAGGTTTCCATTACATTAATTATTTTTTATGAGAGACGGATATACAGTATAGGGAGATAGTGAATAATATACAGTGAGAAAGTGAGATATATAGGAAGAGAGTGAGATATAGGGAGAGAGTGAGATATAGGGAGCTAGTGAGAGAAATAAGGAGAGGGTGAGATATAAGGAATGTGAGATACAGGGCAACAGTGAGAGACATACAGCATGGGTAGTAATTGAGAGAGATATAAGGAGAGAATGAGATAAAGGGAGAGTGAGAGATATAGAGATAGAGTGAGACTCATAGTATGTGTACTTAACTTTATAATACAGTATGTAAATTTTGTTTCCATCTACATCACTTTATGAACAGTATAAGGATACATTTCTGACTACAATAAATAGTAAAGATGTATAATACATCAAAACATGAACAGTATATGGAATTATATTAAACAAATATTGATATTGACATTTCGTACATCACTATGACTCAGGAGAGTCATTATATAATAAAACAGCGTAAAAAGTTGGAACACATCATCATGGAATGAGGTGAACGTCACTCACTGGGAGAGGGAGACACTACTGTAGGGGATGACGGCTAAGAACTGCCAAGCTCCTGAACGGGGACTGCTGAATATTGTCTCTACAGCCTTTTCAAACAACTGGTCATATTCCACCTGCAACAAAGAAACATTACTGGACATATTTTTAAAGTACTGTATCCATATTTTCTTACCGAACCCTACAACTGCGACATACATCATATGATGGAAAGCTTATAACTAATACAAACATCATATGATGGACAGTAGACATACATCGCAGCCTTGTGATCTGACACCATCCACTTCCTGCAGTAGCGGTGGTACCAGGCAGTGGCAGTTCATGGTAAAATATATTAGAGGGACTGCAAGTTTCACCATAACTACAGCAGAAAATGTCATATATTTGGATTACCTCAGGTGTACCGTATACAGTATGTATGAGTTGATGTTGCCCCTGGATTCCTAGGATATTATTTGCAAATAAAATACATGTGACGGTTCATTAATTTTTCATTAAAGTCCTTCATTTCTGTTATCATGTTACTTTCAATGGATAACACTGCTAAGGCAGACAATCTGTCATTCACCATGGTATTGGGCAAAAATGGTTTAATTCTCTTTAAGGTTGAAAAGCACTTTTCTGCTTTTGCCACTGTCAATTTTGTTGTTATTAGAATCATCATATGCTTAATTTCTGAATATGTTGACTGTAGATGGTGAAGGTAACTTTACCAAAAGTACATGACCCAACTCCACACAAAACACATCAGTCACTGGGGCTGCACATACTGCAACTACAAGTGAACCATACAATGCCAGTGCCAGATGGAAATGAAACGTGCAGTTACCATGAGTGTCACTTGAATTTTGATCTTTTTTAATTAAAATATAGTTAGTATGTCATGAAAACAACATTCAAACTAATTCTTTATGAAATATTGGATGTTAGTGTATAATTCAGCTTCATGTGTCAATGAATCATATGCCTGGCAACAACTGACAGTGGGGGACTATAGCTCCGCAGCGCCTATGGATGAGCTGCCACTGGTGCCGGGCGTAAGATTATTAAAAGGAAGAAAGTGCCCCATGAAACAAGCTGCAAGAAGATTATCCAAGCAGTAGTGATGAAGAAGGTGTGATTAATCCAAAAGTGTGTGTATCACATGGTGGTAGGAAGAACCAAGCTGTTATCTTGCACATCACCCTTGCTATCCCTTCCAAATTTGTGCCGATGGTTAATGCATCTGACGATGAATCCATTTCCTCTATCTCTGAACAAGACTGGGATATCTTGAGTGCAGGTGATGAAAGAGGAGATGATGATGTAAGGAGCATGAGGAGCATGATGGAGCAAGAGGGTAAGCTGCCTTGTGATGCCATATGTCATCCCTTTGTCCGAAGGACTAATGAGAGAGACTTTCAGCCAGACATTCATGACTTTGACAGAAGAATTACTGGTGTGACTGATGAGTAGTCTCATAATGAAGATGTTAGCAAACTTGATTATTTTGAGGCTTTCTTTTTATAATAAAGTGTTATCCCATATTGAGACAGAGACAAATAGATGCAGTACAGTACTATGAATATGTTACAAAACATAATGAGTTTACACCCATCTCGTGTACATCATTGAGTAGACACATACTTGTATGCAGTATTCAGGAAATGTATGTAGTGCTTTTTGTACTATAGTTATTGCTGCCTCTCATAAAGAAACATTGCATCATTGATTTGGTAAATTTATGAATAAGGAGTGATTTCTCTAGTTTCTACACCTCATACACTTTGTAGATAACAATAACACTGAAAATGATCAACTAAGAAAGTTAGGGAAGTATCTATATTTTTCTGGCTAAATAAACTGTTTCAATATCAATATGATCGTGGAGATGTATGGAAACTTCTTTTACCCCCTTTCATAAGGAGGTAATTGATGAAAGTTTAGTGATATTCAAGGTAAGACCTGACTTCAAGCAGTACATCTTATTGAAGAAGCCCTGGTATAAAAATATATGTACAGGTATGGGACCATTTATCTGGCATGCTTGGGATCTGGGGGTCGCCAAATAGCTTTTTTATGGAATTTGGAGCACCAGGCATAAAATGTACAAAATGTTCAGTAAACTCTTTGTAACTGACTGTGAAGACTCTGTTCAGATCATTAGATTCTCACCTAAAAGTAGCTTTTAACTGTACACTAACATTAAAACTGAAAATTGTAGGCATATAAACATCAATAACAAGAGGATATAAATAGTTCAATAATAATGAAAGCATAAAGAGAGCAAAAATGATACATGTTAGTGTACACAATGTGTAGCAGTTGTCCCTAATACTCGCCTTAACATCGGTGCTCTGGCCCAGATCCTTCGACCTCTTCACACACTCACCACACGGCTTCACCGAAGTAAAATTTTATTCCTTATGATAATTATTTATTTTAATTATTTATTTTTACATTTTCTATTTGTAAGATTGTGTGTGCGTGTGAAAGTGGTAAAAAAAAAGAAAGAAAATTATGTGTATCTACTTGAAAACACGAGTTGAAAAATAATTTATACTTTATGATAATTTTTTTCACTTTCTATATGTAAGATTGAGTGTGTATGTAACCAAATAAAGAAAATTAAGAAAGTTACACATATCTACCGGAAGTTATGAGTTGAAAAATAAGTATACCATAACATATACCGGGGTAGCTCACAGTTAATGAAAGGTTTTAAATATCCTTATTTGGACCAAGGATCACTTTTGGCACTCATTTTAAGTAATTTGTTCCAGAACATAGCCGTTATTAAAGTATTCTGGATACCGGGACCCTGGACAAACAGTCCCATACCTGTATTATGTGACTGTGAAACAGGCAGTGTGCTCAATATGACATTGACATCTTAAAAAAACCCATTGGGGGTGTTAAAGGCCATAATGAAAAAACTGTAATCCCCCATAAATAGGTAAGGAGAACTGATAACTGGTAAAGTAACCCTTACTTATGTGTCTAGATTCATGCATATACAGAACACTGAAATATGTGGAACTGTCAGAAAAAATGGAAAAAAGACAAAAAAATAATTTACTGTACTACCACCCAGTGTGAGTACTGTATTTTGAATACCAAAAGTCTGGTAAAGTATTTGCAATCAACTGGCATGACAAGTGGCAAATTATCATGCTGGCTGTAGTTCACAAGGCTCATATACAAAACAGTGATAAGCAGGACTAAATGACCTGAAGCTATTTTGGATTGCTCTGTATAGTGAAAACAAGAGGTTGATTGATAAAAGTGGTTGTCAACTAAACGCAGTGGAACATGTGAGAAAAACTGTAAAATAGTATCATACATTTTTTTTTTTAGTTGTCATAACAGTCCTCAACTCATATAATACTTGTATACATTATACCTGGGAAAGATGGGGAATAAAAAAACAAAACAAAGAAAATTCCAGATCCCAAAAAAGTATGGTACTGTACTCTAACTTCCACAGGGTAAGCACGACGAGAAACACAGGCTCAGGGTAGACTTCTTGGGCTCTGTGCCATTAAACCAATGAACTGTTACAATGTATGTATGTATGTATGTATGTATGTATATGAGAGAGAGATGGTCAGTGTTTGGTGTGAAGAATGTGATGTATGGTTATGTGTGGCACCCAGTTATAGGAATTACTACTCTATGAAAAAGTACAGAGGTAATTTGTAAATAAAGTATGAGTATTGTGTGCAAAAAACAAGAGTGTTAGTGTATTTTCACTCTAGCCCAGTGGCTTTTACAAACCATACATAAAATTTCACATTATAAACCTCCTGTCCCATAACTCTCACTCAGCTGATTGGCCCAAGATGCTCAACTTCATTACCACAGCATGGCTAAACTATTTCTTTGTTAAATGTTTGCATGCTGTCTTAATTTCATAAGTGTGAAAATTGTGTTGGAGAAAAATATTTTCACTAAGTTTTATTTTGCACAGTGGTGTGTGACTGGAAAACCTAATTATACATTATTGGGTTAAACTCACACTGCAGTATCTGACACTCAATCAAAATCTAACTACTTGGGGGAGACTTAAAGTATATATCACAGCTTATATTATTTAGAGACTTGTTACTGTAATACCAAAGTATAGTTGACTAGAAACTCTAAGCATTACTAAAGAAGTTATTTTACAACTGTATACAGTACAGTGACCCCTCGTTTAACGAACACCTCGGTTAACGTAATTTCGATTAACGAACTGCCTTCCATAAGGATCTTCAATTCGTTTAACGAAAAAAATTTCGCTTAACGAACTTCTTACGAACCGACCTCAACATGTTTTTGCTTGCACTGACCGGGCAACCAGCTTTAGTATCAGTCCGCCAATACATTAATCGGTTCTAGGGCTTAAATTCCTTACTATTTTTGTAAATATCAAGAAGTTTATACTATTCAATAATTTTAAAAGTTTAATATTCAATTTTTTAGTCATTTTAACAATTATTGAACAAAATTGAAGGTAAAGTGACTAGTTTAATGCGCGGCATCCAGCCTCTTAACACAGCAAACAGGCGTCAGTCTCTCTCTGTTTTCACTGGAGGTAACATCTTGCTTGAGACTCTCTTCAACTAAACGCTTTTTTTCTGTGTTTCCAAGCAAATTATTGGTCATTTTGAAAATTATTTTACATATTGACAATATATAGTGCAGTGCAGTGTTACTTTAAAGAAAATATTCTTTATTTACAGCTAGTTTAACTTTGAAAAATACGTGTTGCCATTGTTTGAATCCAGCATGGGGCCTAAGAGATCAAGAAAAGTGATTTCAATCCAAATAAAGCAGGAAATAATAAAAAAACACGAACAAGGTATTAAATCAAATGCGCTATGCAAAGAATATGGCATGTCGGCATCAACTGTGTCGACAATTCTTGCACAAAAAGACAAATTTAAGGAAGTGAACGTGAGAGACAAATCTACAAGAGTGTTTAAAAGTAGATCCCTAATCGTAGAAACTGAGAGGTTACTTATCATCTGGATTAGGGAAAAACAGATGAAAGGTGATTCAGTTTCTGGTGATTTCATTTGTGAAAGAGCCAGGGAGATTTATGAACATTTAAAGACAGATCAACCTGGTTCTTCAGGAACAGAATTTGAAGATTTTCGGGCTAGCAAAGGCTGGTTCGAAAAATTTAAGAAAAGAAGTGACATTTTAAGTGTTGTTAGGCATGGTGAAGCTGCTAGTGCTGATAAAGAAGGGGCAGCAAAGTTTTTAATTGAATTTAAAAAACTGATGGAAGAAGAAAATTATCTTCCACAGCAAGTGTTCAATGTTGACGAAACTGGGCTGTTCTGGAAAAAGATGCCCAAAAGAACATTCATCACCAAGGATGAAGCCTCTTTACCTGGGCATAAACCCATGAAAGACCGTCTCACTCTATTGCTTGGTGCCAATGCTTCAGGGGATTTCCGACTGAAGCCTATGCTTGTCTACCACTCTGAAAACCCCAGGGTGTTCAAGCAACAGAAAGTGGTAAGAACAATGCTTGGAGTTTATTGGAAGTCCAACCGTAAGGCATGGGTGACAAGACAGTTCTTTAATGAATGGGCTGTTGATGTGTTTTGCCCCTCTGTCAAGAGCTACCTAACCACCAATAAACTTCCTTTAAAGGCTCTTCTCCTCATGGATAATGCTCCTGGTCATGACCCTGACCTTGCCAGAAATTTGGAGTATAAATTTGACTTTGTGAAAGTGTTGTTTTTGCCTCCAAACACTACATCACTCATACAGCCAATGGACCAGAATGTGATCAGCAACTTCAAGAAGTTGTACATGAAGAAAATGTTTAGGAGGTGTCATCAGGCAACTTCCATTGATCCTGAACTAACACTGAAACAGTTCTGGAAGACACAATTCAACGTCCTGGAGGCTGTAAAATTGATTGTGTCATCATGGCAAGAAGTCTCCAATAGAACCCTCAATTCTTCATGGAAAGCACTGTGGCCATCAGTAGTCCATGATTTTGAGGGATTTGAGGATGACACAGAGTTGGACCAGGAGATTGTGTCCATTGGTCAGTCATTGGGTCTTGAAGTGGAGGAGAAGGATGTGGAAGAGCTTGTGATGTCTCATGAGGAGGAACTTACTCCTAATGACTTGAAGGAACTGGATGAGATGTTACGGGTAGAGGCTGACAGTGGTGAGGAGGAAATTGAAAGTGATGACCATATGTCAGCTAAACAGTTGAAAGATGTGATTTACCACTGGGAGAAGTTCAGGGAACTGGCTTCAAAGCACCCAGAAGTGGAAAAAACTGAACTAACTTTGTGTCATGTTGAGGACTCAGTGGTCTCCTTCTTTAAACATAAGTTAATGGTGAGGAGGACAGATGCCCCACAGACCACAATTGACACTTTCTTCAGTAAAAGGCAGAGGGAACAAGATGCTAGCCCTCAGCCTTCCACTTCAAGAAGGAGAGAGGATGTTCATGGTGGAGAATCTGTCAGTCCAGAGGTTCCTGACATTTTCATGGAAGGTGACTCACCTTCCAAGAAGCAGTAAAATGCTTCTCCTCCACCTCCACTTCCTTCTCTTCTCCCTTCTCCTCCTGCACCTCCCACTTCAAATGCACATCATCACCATCATCCAGGAGCCTTCTACATACACACCTCAAAGTAAGTAAATTTTTCCGCCATTTTTGTTGAAGTTAGGAAATTTTCGGTGAGCTGGAACCAATTACCCAAAAACCCATTGAAACAATGGTTTCGGTTAACGAACGTTTCGGTTAGCGAACGACCTTCTGGAACGGATTGAGTTCGTTAACCGAGGGGCCACTGTACTATAGTTTAACTATAGTATGGTAACAGTATATGGTACAGAAATGCATATTCACTAATACCTTATTATCTATAACAAATTAAACACAACACAATAGCTAACCTGTAAAGATTCCAAATGAGCTACTGCCTGAGACATGGCAGTGCTGTGGCTCAATGAGTACTGGTGCAAAGAAAGGAAGCTTTGCCAGTGGTCAGTGATGTACTCCACAGTGTGTCGAAGAAGGCGACATATGCGTTTGGTTGCACCACGATATCTAACCTAGTAGATATTGCAGAAAAGTATATACAATATACAGGGTGATTCAGCAAAGAGTACATTAAATTTGAGGATGAAATCCTTGGATAATTCTAAACCACAATGTCTCTATGGTAAAATGTCAGATTCTGCATAGTTTCCATGTTACAATACATTTAATGTTGTATTAATGAGAGTGAATTTGAAGTGAAACTCCCTAGGTTTTTGTAATCATTTATTCCCAGATCTCTATAGTGTGACCCATCTTTGTTACAACTTAAAGGAAATGTTCAAAGTTGCTCCCTTCTGCCTCAATGCAGGCCTGTACATGTTGTACCATTGATTGTCTGACCCATTCCAGAATGCCTGGACTATGTTTAATTTACTCACACCTGTCATGAACACGTGGGCATAAGCAGAATCTGACATTTTACCATAGACATTGTGGTTTAGAATTATCCAAGGATTTCATCCTCCAATTTAATGCACTCTTTGCTGAATCACCCTGCATAGGTTAATTATCAAGTCAGCAAATTTGATTACAGTACTCAGCAAGGCCTCAGCACCATATGTGCCAAGTTATGGGGATTTTACTGTAAAAGTATCATTTTATTTATAATATTCATGATTCTGTACTAGCAACAATGAACAAGTGTTATTATCCTTTTCATTATTGGAAATTACAAAATTCAGTCATCTGGGGGGTCCCTCCAGGGCACACATGATCAAAGTCAAAGGGTTAATACAGTACAGTACTAAACATGTCTACCTTCTCCTTCTATTTATATCTGGAGGGGTCAAATTAAATTGTGCAGCATTAGTAATGCAATCTTGTAACAATTCATGGACTGTGGGTACATAGTATAAACCATGTCCTTCATGACCCGCCCGCCCCACTTAGTCAAGTCTGGGGTTTTAGTGGCCACACAATTGGACCGGTGCAGCTTTTCCATTTTTGAGGGGAATTATGGAAATTTTCCTTCACTGGTTTAATAGATATAAATATTAGTATTACCATCCAAGGGTTGCAATAATCTGCCAACTAATTATTAGACTAACCTGAGAATATGTTGCCAGTCCTGTACGAAAAAGCTGTAAAAGATGAGTAGCAAATGCAAACAGCTTCATAAAGCCCTGGTGACTTGTGCAAGACACATCATAGTTGAGTGATCCATCCTCTTCCTTGATCAATAATATGTGCTGGAAGATTTCTTTGAAGGGCACTTGGTTTAAGATCTGAAAGCCCATTATATAAGAGTGAAAGATGCTGTAAGATGCAAAAATTATGAATTCTTTCTTTAACCAGGAACCTTTAAATATTAATTTGAAATCTAAATCATAACTGGAAAGCAGTGTAAAACATCAACAAAACTAATCATCTGGAGAATATGAAGTACATCAGATAAAACATGATGCTTCATACACAGAAAGCCACAAAATTTGTGTGTAGAAGTACATCTGTGTGGGTACTAAACTAAGCTATTTTTTTTACAAGTGGTCAAAGTAAGGCAGTAGATAAAAGTATTCCGCACAACACTGAATATTAAAAGCAAAGGAAAGAAAAAGAATGAAGGAAAACAAGTAATTCATGAGTGGCAAAGAAATTATTAGAGAGGAGAGGCAGAAGGAGAAAAGTGTTGCTATGAAAAGTCACAAACACTGCAGTGGTTGATAGATTGGGGAGGATTCACACAGTAATGCTGAAGGTTAAAGGCTTGTGGAAGTGAGGTTAACTGACCAGAATTGATTTGCCTACTGTACTTAATAAATAAATCCTTGAGGGTCAATGATTTCAGGTGTTAAGGCTGATTAGAGATACTATACTACAGTACAGTGAGAACACTTTGCACACTTGGAAAAATGAATGAAAAATAAATTTTCAATTGTCACAAACATAAAAAGGAGAAAAAAAAATATATATCCTAGTGACTGATGTTCAATATACGTAAATTTTTTAGATTAGTAAATAAACCAGTCATTAACAAATGAAAATTAATAGATACATCTCTCTGGTTTATTTGTGACTGCAGAAGTTCTCATGTTCACTGTTACACTAAATTAATTTAGGTGAAAAAGTGAAAGTGGGTCCCAAAGGCACAACTGCTCAACATATGATAAATGCAATTTATCCACCTGATACTAATGGGAATGATGGTATGGATAAGAAAGTACAGACATGTGTAAAACACTTTTCATCAACTTCAATGATTATCTACCTGAACAACATCATTTTCATTGAAGCGGGCCCACAGCTGAGCAGGGTCTTCCTCGTCCTCCCCAGAACTGTCAACCACCACCCAGACATTATCATTTTTATCTTCACTAAGGTTCTTATCTTCATCAACTTGACTAGGCAATGCAGTTTCTTTAAGATGATGAAGAAAATCTTCCCTGGCTTTAACTGGGTTGAGTATAGTAGAGAGCACAGTGAGGGCATGGTCTAGTGGCCAGCACCCTAACATTCCACCACAAACTCCCCCATCAATGCCATCTTGTTCCCATGGTCCTCCAATCTATCAAAAATACAGTATAATAAATTACAATACATTTTTTATCTTCCTAACACTGTATCTCAGTCATAAGATAGGGAATAACATACAATACTGGGTTAATATACATAAAAAATGATTTTACAGTATACAGTATATACCTGTACAGTAAAGCCAATGAATGTTATACATTACAAATTAATAATCACAGAAAATTTTAACCCTGTACCAATATCCTGTACTGTACAGGTTGTACCTCTCTAGTCTGGCATTCTGTGGTCCGGAAACTCCCGTGGTCCGGTACGATTTTAGTTTGTCCAATAGGTAGATAGGCAGCTCTTTTTTTTTTAACTTATCTGAATTATTATTACAGGACTATTCAATTTTTGCCCCTCAGGCCCCAATGTGGGTCAGTGACCTATGCCCGGGTGGGCTAATCCCCTTAAAAAAAAAAAAAAAACAGCCGCGGGAAATTAAGGTTTGTTTACATCCGGCAGTTCGGCTGCTCTCTCTCTCGCTCTCTCTGCTTGTCTATACAGTGACCCCTCGGTTAACGAACTCAATCCATTCCAGAAGGTCGTTCGTTAACCGAAACCATCGTTTCAATGGGTTTTTGGGTAATTGGTTCCAGCTCACCGAAAATTTCCTAAATTCAACAAAAATGGTAGAAAAGTTCACTTACTTTGAGGTGTGTATGTAGAAGGCTCCTGGATGATGATGATGGGATTTAGAATGGGGGTGGAGGAGAAGGAAGAAGAGAAGGCATTGGGGTGGAAGAGAAGTCACCCCATGGCGCCATTTCACCCATAAAATTTTAGCTCTCTTGGTGTAATTCAAGATTATTTTCTTTAAATCAACACTGCACTGCATTATATATTGTCAATATGTAAAATATATTTCAAAATGACCAATAATTTGCTTGGAAACACAGAAAAAAGCGTTTAGTTGAAGAGAGTCTCAAGCAAGATGTTACCTCCAGTGAAAACAGAGAGAGTCTAACGCCTGTTTGCTGTGTTTAAGAGGCTGGATGCCGCGCATTAAACTAGTCACTTTACCTTCAATTATGTTCAATAATTGTTAAAATGACTAAAAAATTGAATATTAAACTTTTAAAATTATTGAATAGTATAAACTTCTTGATATTTACTAAAATAGTAAGGAATTTAAGTCCTAGAACCGATTAATGTATTGGCGGACTGATACTAAAGCTGGTTGCCCGGTCAGTGCAAGCAAAAACATGTTGAGGTCGGTTCGTAAGAAATTCGTTAACCGAATTGAAGATCCTTATGGAAGGCAGTTTGTTAACCGAAATTTCGTTAACCGAGGCGTTCGTTAAACGAGGGGTCACTGTACAGAGTACAACATTTAACCCTTCAATATATATGAGCAGTAAATAAGTGTTGCTTTCATATTCTTATGTAGAGTAATGACGATATGTTTTCACATATGCGCACTTACATACGCGCAGTCTCACTTTTTTTTTTACCATTAATGGTTAGCTACTTACAGTATATTGTTCCATTTATTAACATTAAATAACATTACAGGTACTTCAAACAACCATATTATTTTTTTTACATTAATTTTACTACAGCTAAAATCATGGTCTTATTTTCTTCAGTTTTATATGTAGAACCAATCAGTCACTGATTTCGTAAGCTTTAACATAAACAATGCCGGCAGCCGTCTCGTCTCCTCTAATATTCCACGTATTATTAATAAATTGTATTGTTAATTTTGCACACACATACATTAATTCAATAAAAACAAATTCAGAAACATTAATTAAAATATATATGAACAGTAAATAAGTGTTGCTTTCATATTCTTATGTAAAGTAATGATGATATGTTTTCACGTGTGCGCATGCGCACTTACATACGCGATCTCTCTTTTTTCTTTACCATTATCGTTAGCTACTTCTATTGTTCCATTTATTAACATTAAATAACATTACTTAAAACAACCATATTAATTTTACTACAGCTACAACCAAGGTCTTATTTTCTTCAGTTTTATATGTAGAACTAGTCAGTCACTGGCTTTGTAATCAACGAAAACAATGCTGTGTCATTTCCTCGTGTGTTTTAATATTCTACGTATTATTAATGAATTGTATTGCTCATTTTGCACACAAACATTAATTAAATAAAAAAGACATTCAGTAATAAACAATAATGAATCTTTTGTACAGAAGAGAAATGACGCTGTTTACATGATTATGCACGTCGTCTGCAAGTTAGTGGGCCGTTCAAACCCGTTGAAATTCAAGTTTCCGCTGTCCAAATTGTTTATTCATTTATTTTTTTGTTCCAATAAAATACGTTAAGAATTAAAAACTCGCGAAATTTGAGAAGTTACTATACGACATTTAACCCTTCAATATGTCTTCAAAGAGACCATGATGCAGAGAAAGTGGTGCTAGTGCTTCCAAGCATAAGCACAAAAGGGTGAATTTCCATGGTCCGGCAATTTCCATGGTACGGCACCGGTCAGGTCCCGAGGTTGCCGGACTAGAGAGGTACAACCTGTATTAATAAACTTGTATTCAATAATAAAATTAAATTTATATTTAAATGATGGCACAAAGAGTGAATGTCGCAACAATTCTGACATTTATTTAAATGATGGCACAAAGAGTGAATGTCGCAACAATTATGACATTTGTTAAAATAAAGTACAGTATAGTGTATATAAAGCCCTAAATCCAATTTTCCAGGCTTTCAAGATATATTAACAAGTCTGGTATGCTTAGCAGTCTCTAGAACCCGAGATACAATCTTCCACTTTATTTTACAAACACATAAAAGCAAGCATCCAAAACAAATCCAAAACAAAGGCCTTTTAAAAATTTCAAAAGTTCTTATCCGATATAAAAATTAAGACTTGATGAATGTTCAAAGACCCTAGCCAGTGAAACACCCTTTAGAAATTACTGCACAACAACAATACAGTATAAGATTAGAATAAATGCTAAGTTTAGCTCAGACATTGTTTCTTCTTATTTGTTTATATGGAAATACCAGTTTGTAATTCTAAAATGAGTGAGGGGTAAAGGGTAATTATTCTTAAGTTGAAAATAAAACTGTAATAAGAACTCAGACCTGATTTGGTTGTTTGACCTATATTTTCAGCCTTTAGTATTTAATTCCAGATAAAAATTAAGTGTTATCAACTTCAAATATCATAAATTAGTTACACCAATGTATACTATACAGTACCTGAATGCATGATGGAGCCCAAGCACCAACACCAGGTGGGCATCTTAAGACGTGGTTGAGAATAAACAGGTGATCTTGACGAGTTGCAACACGCAGTTGGAGGTACACTGTCCATGAAGCAATCTATATTTTGGTAATCATTCATAAACCTAAAAGAACCTAACCTAATGACAACTATATTTCAAGATACATGAATTTTCTAACCTAAACTAATACCAATTTTAAATGAGCCAAAAACTGCTCTGTCTCCAAAAATAAGAATGTACACAAAAAAGACGATGGAGGAAAATCGACTTGGAATTAAATTCTTCATTGTTAGAACCTATTGTCACCCTTAAATCAAGGCCATGTGTTAAATCTTACATTAGCCAAATACTAATCTACAGTGAATAAATCAGTAACTTTATCTCTCACCACTGTGCCACAGGTTCATTCCCTGGGTCGGATGTGAGTAGTGTGTTATGCACTGTGACTCCTCCCCCCAAAGAAATTTAGGTTGGATATAGATCTTGGGTTTTGTGACCAGGTTGGGATACATTGAGTTACCACCATACATCACATATTTATCTGGGTACTCCAGTTTCCTCCTGTAGTGACACTGGACAATGAAGATGTTAACAAAGCACAGCCTTACTGCCCCAATGAGTAGTAAGCTGACAATGTTAATAACAAAAAATTAATAAAAAATAAATCCTTTAATAAAAAAATATATTAACATTAAATTTCATGCAGTGTGGCTATCCTAAGCTTCTTCATAAAGCTTTGCTGTCGAAATTTTCTGTATGGTTATACAGCTGACTCACAACTTGTTGCTGTGCGTCACTGGGATCAGGTGGACTGGTTGGCAGTCACAGTCATTAGATTAGTACATAAGGCTAAAATCACAATTCATTGCCTTTACACTCTCTTATTATTTTAATATTAATATTGTATTGGGCAAAATCAATATAAAATAATTGTATTACTATTAAAATTACCTTGGGGCGACTGGACTTGTTCCTTCAACCATTCAGCTGATGTAAACAAACAAGGTTCTTCCTCCAGCACTATCGTACCAACCTCAGTAAGTTGTCGTGCTTCCTCTATATTGTTGTACTTTTTTTTTTTGCAACCTCAATACCTCAAGAAATATATCCCTTAAAACCTATTATTTTATTAGTGACCTCCCATTGACGCACCTGGAGGGTTTGACTTCATAAAGAACGGTTTAGTATTGTTTAGTTGACTATTTTTTAATGCTTCATTAAAAACACTTTGGTTCTTATTCACATTCTTATTTCTATTTATGTTTCATCTTATATTCAAACATTTCGATTACAATTTTAATTTGCATTCGCTTTGATACTCACTAACTTGGATTAAATTAAGATAATTATTTACAACTTTCCCGTGGCCGAAATTGATCGAAAATTATTATAAAAACGCAGGATTTTCACTGTTATTTTATAGTGGACACTGTTGTAGTCTGTGCAAATGTGTTAAAAAATGGATATCCACCAGGGAGGGGAGTGATTTACTGTGATGGTGGGAAACCTCGAGTCGCGGCATTGAGGAAGTGATGAAGGACTGTGCCGTGATCTCGATGAATGTGGCAGAACAGGTAGTGTGCAAAGTAGTGCTTGTAGTGGTAATCCCTGTTGCCAGCCCTCAGAAGCCAGGACTTTATATCCTTCCACAGCCATTCTACAGTGTTAGTGTGCACTGTAGTAACAGGGTCAACAAAGTTTTTGCTGTGGTTTACAGTTTGGTGGTTATAACCCAAGGACCCCAAGTTCGAGCCTGCTTCACTGTAGATAGTGATGCCTTACTTGATAAATTTCTGGCAAGGAGGAACTAGGGTGTTGGCATCTCTTTTCAGCTGGCATAACAAACATGCGTCCCATCCACGGTGCCGCCAAAAACCCAGACACCCTTCACTAAGTGGCCACGTTAGAATTTCCTCTTTCAAAACTTATTTTCGTCAATTTCTACTATTCTATTTGGGCTGCCAATAGGTTCCAGGTTTTCTATCCAGTGCATACACACCTCACTGCAAAAATGTTTCCAGTCAACAACACACTTGGGGCTCATACCCAGTTCTATTTCACAATATGTCTGTGTAAAAGACATTTGTTTAAAAAAAATGTAATAAATAAAATCAAAACACTGGGCTGAATCTTGGCATTTTCAAGCCAAGTTCCTTTATATGGACTGCCCGGAAGACAAACTAGTGGGCACCTAGGCGCCTAATTATCTATGAAATGAAAAATTTGCACAATAAATGATTATCATATCAGAACTCACTGATGAAAATAATATAAGAAAATAAACAGTATTAAAAGTAACTCGCCCACGGATTAGTCTTATATATTAACCGTTTTATATTCTAATTTCGAAAATATCTATATTTTTTGAGAAATTAGTAGATACTGAAAATAATAAAACAATATTTAGGGCTCTGAACAGCGGTAAGAGGCTAGCTTGTTAAATGTAAACAAACGTGACTCAAGCAACTGAATTATTAAGTCTTACAAGAAGGTTGTACAGATATCTAGACGGTCCATGTCCGTCCCTTGTAATGATCTTCAAGAGCGAGGTGCTTCCCAGCCTGGAGCACTGTCACCCTGCCTGGTCCCTGAGATATGTTAGGGATTGTTCGTTGATTGAAAATGTTCAGAAGGCCACTAGACTGATGCCGGCACTTCGGCACCTCAGCTACCCAAAGAGATTAGAACGCCTGCAATTGCCTACAGACGGGCAAGGGACTGAATTGAAGTGTATAACCATCTCAAAGGGCACTCATCAGTTGAGTGTCCTTACCTTATTATTATATTTTCGCCCTCAGCCCCTAATGTGGATCATTATCCTTTGCCCTGGTGGGATAAACCCATAAAAAAAGAAGAAAGTAACTACTGTATACGAGGATAGTGAGTCGGTCATGTAGTTATATCCAAGGCCTTGGCTATAACCACCTCCACACACGTTTAGTTCTTGCACATACACACCCATGCTCTTCATTTTCTTGCTTTTTATTATATTTTCTTTTATTTCTAAGCCATATTAGAGTATTGTAATGATTTTCAACAACTTTTATAGTTTCATTACATGTAACAATAAACTCAATGGCTGAAGTCGTGAGACGGCAACGTAGTCATAGCCTACCGCCTACACACACACACACACACGTTCAGTTCCCACAAATACACAACCAGCACTTCATTGTTATTATTTTATAGTTTATTGTAGTGTAACGACCACGGTCATACACGTCAGTTAACGCCAAAATCAAATGATTCATATTACGCTCAATAGCCCACAAAACATGTACCTCTGCTTTTATTTTGAGTCCTCCATCTGAGGAGTCCGTTTTCTCATCACTTCAAGACACCTCAGTCTTCAGTTATCAATTCAATTCAATTTCAATTGTTTATTCCTTGATAGAGGAAGCGGGATCCTAGTGCTGTCACTAGGTACCCCTGTACAATGACACCAGAATCATCTGGCAAGTGTGAAAAGTATATACAGTATAAATATTATAAAGGGGCTTACTAAAGCCTAAGGAAGGAAGGATGTTCCTTTAACACATAATTAATATTATTTACAAAATATCTGGCCAGTATTGGGAGGATCATCGTGTCTCCGTCAGGGGGTCGTGGAGTGGTGGTCCAGCAGGCGTCACGGAAGCGTTGTGTGTGGGGACATCTTAGGAGGTAGTGAATAAGGGTGCGGCTGTCGGGTCTTCTGCATAACGCACAAGAGCGTTGCTCAGGGGATGTGGGGATACCAATCTCCCAAGCAAAGTCATACCCAATGATGATACGGGCAGCAATCACGTCCCCCTTCCGCGACCCTTTCCCGTAGACGTATGAGAAGTCAGGAAGTTTACGGAGGACATCGTACCATGTGGGCGGGGAGTCCAGGGGGATGGCTGCTTCCCGAGCTTCTCTCTGTTTGCGGCGGATTTGGGTCCTAATCTGTAAGAGTGTTCGAGGAACAACGTAGTCAGGTGTGGCCTTGTTGCAGCCAGTCTTGGCAAGGTCATCTGCTGCCTCATTCCCCAAGATACCGACATGACTAGGTATCCATAGGAATGTCACAGGACGGCCTTCATCCTGAAGTGTGGATGTTAACCCTCGTATTCGGAGGATGAGGTCCTTATTTTCCCCAGATCCAAATGCGATCCCGTCGAGAGCAGACCTGGAATCGCAGCAGACAAGCAAGGGGCAGAAACCATCTGCTTCTTCCTCAGCGAGAAGGGCAGCAAGGAGGGCTATTAGTTCAGCCTGAGTGGAGGATGCCCCGTCAGAAACTCTGAGAGACAGTTTGATAGGCTCAGGGGCATGAGGACGGGAGATGTAGACACCAGCCCCGGCCCTACCTGTAGCGGGGTCAACAGAACCATCAGTGTAGAGGACGACCCTACCTGGGGACCAGTGAGCGATCCTGGAGAGGTGGTATTTGCAGAGAATAACAGGGTTCACCTGGGATTTCGGGAGCGGTCCACCGAGGGCAATCACTTCAGGTTGAAAATCCAGCCAGGGAGAAGGAGACGAACCAACAGCAGGGGTGACAACAATATCAGGCAGGAGGTCGTGTTCCTGAAGGGCTCGGATGAGTGACCCTCGCCACTGTCTTCTAGATGGAGGTCGGTCTCGAACAGCAGTAGTCAAGTTGGTTTGGACATAGTTGCCCCTAGGATCCCGTAGAATGGAGACGGCAGTTTTTAGGTAAAACTCCTGGACACGATCCTGTAAGGGGGAAAGACCAAGTTCGTTATATAGAGAAGTAGAGCGTGTCCACTGAGGAGCCCCAAGGATGATACGAGCAGCTTTCCTCTGGATAACTTCGAGACGGTTGACAGCAGTCCGACTAATGTTGACGAGGGCAGGGGCGGCGTAGTCGACACAGGAACGGACAAAAGACTTGTACATGGTGAGAAGTACAGGGATGCTGGCACCAAGGGAACCCCTGCACATGGTAGAGAGGGGAGCGAGACGCCGAAAACATATGTCTCGAAGATAGCGGACTTCAGGGATCTGACAACGTGTGCGAGTTACATACACACCCAGGTATTTTGTCTCATTAACCCAGTCCAAGGGCGTTCCTGATAAGAAAAGGGGTGGAGGTACAACACGACCGTGCCACATGGCTTTTGTTTTCGCAGTTGAAAGAAGGAAACCAAGTGAATCACACTCTCTGGAGACCAGATCAAGGGCTTCCTGCATGCTGAGGTAGTCAGGGGCTTGGAGGAGGACATCGTCGGCATATCCTGAGTGGACAACTTCTGTCGGCCACGGGAGTGATGCAATGGAGTGCATGAGAGTGTTAAACAAGGTGGGACTCAGGACTCCACCTTGAGGGGTGCCGAGGTTCATTTCTTGAACAGGAGACATAGAGCCTTCAACGCGAACCCGGGCCTGACGTCCAGTGAGGTAAGAGGCGATCCATTGTAGAAGTCTCCCTTTAACACCTAACCGTGCAAGTTCAGCTAAAATGAGGGCAGGCTGAGCCGTATCAAAGGCTCCCTTGATATCAAGGAAGACGGAGACGCGGGCAGTCTGATTGCAATAAAAGGAAGCAATGGAGTGTGCTGTGCTGCGATGTTGAATGAAACCATTGAGGGAGTTGTGGAAGCCGCCTATGGTGTGAAGAAGGCGACGATGGAGTACCCTCTCCATCATCTTGCAAACACAGGAGGTAAGACTAATGGGTCGATATTTCCCAGGATCTCCCGGCTTAGGGATGGGGATAATAGTGGCATTTTTCCAGTTGGACGGGAGAACCCCATGTTCATAAGACATATTGTAGAGAGCAAGCAAGGGGCCGTTAGGAATATTAGTACAGGCGTTGAGGACGGAGTAGGTTATCTGATCATCCCCAGGAGAGGTGTCTTTTCTAGAGCGACGAGCACTGTCAAGCTCGAACTGTGTGATGGGATGATCAGTGGGGGCAGGGGAGGTAAGAGCAGCACGAACAACAGGCTCAGACGCATCGATGCGGGCCTGCACTGCCTCCTGCATTGGATCTGGAAGTGCCTCAGGGGAGGAAGC